GTATTGTCGTTTTTTTATCGTTTAATGTTCTTTTATATGTCTTTTTACCATGTATTGGTATCGTTTCATATGTTATTAACATTTATTTTTCGTCGAAAAGGTACGCTCCTTTATCATGACTTTTTATCATATATTGGTATTGTTTCTTAATATGTTATTATTTTCTTCGTAAAAAAGTAACGGTTTATTATTCATTATTGTCAAAAATACTTTGAATTTGTTTACAGTTATGCTAAAGAGCTTCGATTCATTATCCCTGAAAAAAAAAAAAAAAACGTAAAATGAATTTGTGTTTTTGTCGCCTGTCTTGTGGCTTCATTATTCAACCGGGAGTTAAAGTGTCATACGGTTTCCCTTTCTCTTTCTCTTTCTCTCTCTATCTTTTTATATATGTGTGTGTGTGTGTGTGTGTGTGTGTGTGTGTGTGTGTGTGTGTGTGTGTGTGTGTGTGTGTGTGTGTGTGTGTGTGTGTGTGTGTGTGTAAATATATATGCCACACACAAATAATCACCATCATCACCATCTTCCGCAAATTATTACATTTTAAAGTGTTTCTCATTTCTAATCATGAATTAGAAAAAAAATAAAAATAATAATTTTTAAAAAAATCTTCATTCGCTAAGTAATTAACATTTAACATTTAGAATGATAAATATCAGATGACATCATTGTGAGTGTCACCTGTTGTTAATAAAGATACATCTAAGTTCTTTTATATATATTCTTAGAATTTTATACTACTTGCAATAAAAAAAAAATGCTATGATAGGATAGTATATAAAGAATTCAATCTACATTATTTTACATTTTATTCAATGCATTATAAACATTATTTTAATGCCTTAACACATATAAAGAAAAGTGAAGTTTTCGGCTTCCATTTCCTTTTTTTAAGAAATCAGTAACATGAAACATTCCTTACAGTCTATAGTCTACTTGGGACAGTTCAATATATCACTGTAGTTCTTTTTAGCGTCAGAACCTGTAGTACTGAACTTTAAAATCCCTTAAAGAAACTGCCATGTATGAAAGTATGTACATAATGTAAACAAAGGAAATTACAATGCACTTTTTCCATGATATCTAAACATTACTTTACATATTTAAATAACTACAAACTCCAATAGACTCCCTGAAATATATTGAATTATAACAAAGAACACATTCACGCATATTTTTTTAGGGGGGGGGGATATTTTATTTACATACATGATGGTGGTTTACTTGTGTTCTCAACTGACATACGTAGACAAATCTAAAATAAAATAAAAAGTTATCAACACAGAAGACAAATGCAAATCCAATTACAAATATACACTTGTAAAAAAAAACATACTTCGGTAAGGTAAAGAGTTAATCAAGAAAATTGCCCATATCGTCCTGAAATTAAACTTATTATCGGGTGTAATGAGGAATTACTTGAAATTGCTGTGAACGAGCGATTTTCAGTGGTAATTGACAGCCACAGAGAACAGTGTTGGAGAGAAGGGCGCCTTGCTTCAGTATTTTGAGGGGCTGAGCAACTGCCCACCACATTTCCAGTTCTCTTCTCTTGTTACAGGGGTCCAAGTGCTTTTAGTCTCTCTCTCTCTCTCTCTCTCTCTGTCTGTCTCTCTCTCTCTCTCTCTCTCTCTCTCTCTCTCTCTCTCTCTCTCTCTCTCTCTCTCTCTCTCTCTCTCTCTCTCTCTCTCTCTCTCTCTCTCTCTCTCTCACTACACTCTCCACTCCTTCTCCCTCTCCTCTCCCTCCCTCTCTCTCTCCTCTCTCTCTCCTCTCTCTCTCTTCTCCCTCTCTCTCTCTCTCTCTCTCTCTCTCTCTCTCTCTCTCTCTCTCTCTCTCTCTCTCTCTCTCTCTCTCTCTCTCTCTAAACAGAACATGGAACAGTTGCTAATTATATACATTTCCATCCCTCTACAGCGATCTCTGCAGTCGAAATAGAGATTGACAGACCATGATAACGATTCTTCAACCGATAACCGATAACATTACCCTTAATATGGACATCGAAGAAGAGACCACGCCCCTTTTTTGTATTCCCTTATTAAGGTATTAAGTATTAAGGAGTTCCCGAGACCTTAAGCTTGTGCTGAATATAATACTGTTATACAGGAAGGATCTCGCTTGAAGATTCCCGTTGAAGGACTTCTGACTATCATCTTATGGGCGTTTCTCGTCTTTCTTCTTTTATTTTGTTTTCTTTCTTCGTTTATTTTGTTTTCTTTCTTCCTCCATTTTGTTCTTTTCTTTATTTCTTATGTTTTCTTGTTTTTCTTCTTCCTTCTTCTACGGAAATACCGGGAACCTATTGTGAGCGTGAAGTTTATACAATTTTTGGCTCATTTTTTTTTACAAATTTCCTTCTCTTGATCAAAAAAATATAATAAAAAAATAATAAAACACAATACAATAATATAATTGAATACATAATTAAAAAATATAATTAAAAAAAAAATAAAAAAAATCATACAATACAATAAAAAGTAAAATGTGACATAGAGGAAAATAGAAAATCAGATTACAAAAGGGAACGTTAATGACAGGCCAAACTTAATCACTAATGAGCGAGTGTTTAAAATAATCTCGGCCAGGGTATCAATTTCCCTTTTATCATGACCTACTTCTCTTGTCACTTTTATCCCTTCTTTTCCCCCTATTTTCTCATATTTCCCCTCTTTTCCCCCTCTTTCCCCTCTTTTCTCATATTTCCCCCTCTCTCTTTTCTGTTTCTTCTCTCTTCTTTTCTTCTTTCTTCTCTTCTTCTCTTTTCCCTCTCTTTTTTCTTTTTCTTCTCTTTTTTTTCTCTCTTTTCTCATATTTCCCCCTCACTCTTTTCTGTTTCTTCTCTCTTCTTTTCTTCTTTCTTCTCTTCTTTTCTCCTTTCCGTTTCTTCTCTCTTCTTTTCTTCTTTCTTCTCTTCTTTTCTCTTCCCCTCTTTATTTTTTTTCTTCTCTTTTTTACTCTTTTCTCTTTATTCTCTCCTTGTCCCCTATTTTCAGACTCTTATCTCCTTTTCCCTTTTTTCCCTTCTTTTCTCGTTTTTCCCTCTTCTCATCCTCTTTCCTCCTCTCCTCTCTATCCCCTTATTCTGCTGTACTTCTTACGTAATTAAAAACGCTTCATCATCTACAGTAAGTTATGGTCTCTTAAGGATATTTTGAAGCTCATATATATATATATATACATATTTTTTTATGTTATTGCTAACAAAAGCAAAGTATTTTTATATCTATGTATATTATTGCCAGAGAAGAGAAAAAAGGAAAAGAATTTGCTAATAAAAGTAAAGTTTTTAATTTATATTATTGCCAAAAGAATTTGCTAATAAAAGTAAAGTATTTTTATGTCTATTTATATTATTGCCAGAGAAGAGAAAAAAAGGAAAAGAATTTGGTCCAGTATTTTTTTCTTTTTCTTGGTCTATATCCCATCAGCTTTAATCCTTTCTTCCCGAAGTCTGTGTAATTAGCATCTAACAGAGAAAACCTTTTTCGGGTAAAATTTGGTGTAGGATTACTTAGAGAAAAACCTTGGGTCGGGTTGTCTATTTTCAGCTATTCTACAGCTCCAAAAGAGAGGAGAAAAGAGAGGAGAAGAGAAAGGAGAAGGGGGAGAGAGGGAGAGAGGGAGAGAGGAGGGAGGAGAGGGAGGAGAGAGAGGGAGGAGAAGGGAGAGGGAGAGAGATGAGAGAGAGAGAGAGAGAAGAAAAAGAGAAAGAGAGGGAGAGAGAGGAAAGAAGTGGAAGAAAAAGATTAGAACAAAACAGAATATGAAAAGGTAAGAGAAAGAACGAAAGAAAGAAATGGGTACAGCCTGAGAGAGAAAGAAAAAAAGGAAACAGACAGACAGACAGAGACAGAGACAGAGACCGAGAGACCGAGAGACCGAGAAAGGAAAGGAAAGAAAGAGAGTAAATAGAGAGAAAGAAAAAAAGGAGAGACAGACAGACAGACAGAGAGACCGAGAAAGGAAAGGAAAGAGAGTAAATAGAGAGAAAGAAAAAAAAGAGACAGACAGAGACATAGACAGAAGAACCGAGAAAGGAAAGGAAATGAAAGGAAAGATAGTGCTAAAAAAAAGGAAACAAATCCAACACGAAAAAAAGCTCTTCAAAGCCCTCCCTTCACTCAACCTCCATCAACCCTTCACACATTTTTTTAGACTCGTAAACCCAGGTCGTCCTCTTATCCCCCTACAACACTCTGCTCCTCGAGGTCTAGCCAAAGAGGTCAGCCTTCCATATTTGGTCCTTTATGAAGTTGGATGAGCTGAGGGTCTCCTTAATATTTTTCTCCTTTCCTGTTCACTTCAATCTTTTTATTTTTATTTTTCTCTTTTCCTATATTTTTTCTTTGTTGTTCTCTTCTCTTTTTTCTTTTCTCTTTCTCATTTTTTTCTCCTTCCCCGTTCTATTGAATCTTTTTTTTTTTTTATCATATTTTCTGTTTGGTCTTGTTTTCTTCTTTCCTCTTCTCTCATCCTTGTTTTTTGGGGATGTATTTTTCGCTTTCTTTATTTATCATATTTTCTGTTTGGTTTGGTTTTCTCTCATTCTAATTTTTTTCGGATTTATTTTTTATTTTTGGATATTTGTTTTTATCGTTTATGAAATGGGCTTTATTTTTGTAACTTTTGTCTTTCTTTGATTATTTTTTGAATGTTTATATAATCACAATCAATATATTCTGGTCTGCGATTTTTCCAAAATCTTCTTACCTCTCACCTCTCCTCCTTCCTTCCTCCCTTCTCTTCATATCTTTTCTTCTTTTCTCATTTTCACTATTTCCTTTCCTCTCTTCTCTTCATATCTTTTCCTCTTTCCTCATTTTCACTCTTTCCTTCCCTCCCTCTCCCTCTTTCTCTCCCTCACCAACGTAGAAGAAAAAATAGACGAATTTTTACTCTTTCCTTCCCTCCCTTCACTTCATATCTTCTCCTCTTTCCTCACTTTCACTCTTTCCTTCCCTCCCTCTCCCTCTTTCTCTCCCTCTTTCTCTCCCTCTTTCTCCCCCTCTTTCTCTCCCTCTTTCTCCCTCTTTCTCTCCCTCTCTTCTCTCCCTCTTTCTCTCCCTCACCAACGTAGAAGAAGAAAAAAAAATTAAGACGACCACCAATGCTTCTGCCTCAGTACAGCATAATGGTTCCCGACTTGGACTCCGGGGCTTTCATCTGCTCCTTGACCTTGGGTTCGTAGGTGCCGAAGAAAATGATGAGGATGTTGGCCACGTGGACGAAGATGGCCACCACCACGAGCCTGTCGAGAGGGAGAAAGGGTTAGAGGGAAAGGTCGAATTATTATTATTTTTTTTTTTTTTTTTTTTTTTTTTTTTTTTTTGAGGAAAAGTCGATTTTTTTTTTAATCGACGAGTATTTGTTATTCAAGTTTAGAAATTATTATTTTTAAAGGTAAATAAAGTGATATATTTTTTTTAATAATAATAATAATACAAAAATATAGAAGTTCAGTATACAAAGAAAAGATAAAGTAGATAAAGTGAAAATCGACGAAAATTTGTTCTTCAAGTTTAGAAATTATTTTTAAAGGTAAATAAAGTGATATATGTATATTTTTAAATAATAATAATACTAACGTTGGTGCGAATACAAAAATATGGAATAAGTATACAAAAAAAGATAAAGTGAGATAAAGTGAAATCGACGAAAATTTGTTATTCATAATCAGAATAACTGTTTAAAGGTAAATAAAGTGATATGTATATCTTAATAATAATAATAATAATAATAATAATAACATTGGTGCAAGAACAAAAATGTGGAAACTAAATATACAAAAAAAAGATAAAGTGAGATAAAGTGAGATGTATATCTTTTTTAATAATAATAATAATAATAATAATAATAATAATAATAATAATGACGCTGGTATGAATACAAAAATGTGAGAACTAAGCACATAATGAAAACAAAATCGTGCCAGAGAAAATATTGATCACATCTGAATTAAAATAAAAAAAAACAAATAAAATGAGAGAACACATGAAAACCGAGAAAGTGTTTTTACATCGGGGTTTTTCTAATTATGGAAACAAAATCTGAAAAGGTGACAATTTTAGCATAATCAAAATAATTAGTAACAAGATCAACAAGGAAATAACGTAATAACAAACTGTAAACAGAATAACAAACAATAAACGAAATAACCAATTACAAAGAAAATAACAAAATCGAAATAAATTAACAAACAATAAACGAAATAAACTATAAACGAGATAACAAAATATAAGCGAAATGATAAACTCTAGACAAAATTGCAAACTATAAAAATAAATATATATAAATAAACAAATAAAAACGAATATAACAAATAACAAAATGAGAAACTATAAACGAAATAACACTCGAAAAAAGTAACATCCTATTAACGAAATAACAAACTATAAACAAAATTATCAACTATAAACGAAATAACAAACCCGAAATAAAATAACAAACTAAACGAAATAAAAAACAAACGAAATAAATAACAAACAATAAACATAATAAAAACACATAAACGAAATAAAAGATATAAACAAAATCACAAACTCTACACACGATAGGGAATCCAGTCGCAAATTCTGGATGGAAAAAAAATTAATCTAAACAGATATATCTCGCACACGGGATCCGATTGCACTTCAATAACAACATTCTAGAAAGCTCACCTCTCATGAACTTATTCGAGGCACAAGTGGAGAGCTGAGAGGACCCTCTAATTGCTCCTGAATTCGCCTTCGTAATCTTGCTCGTCATGACAAGATCTCGTGTATGTTGACGGAGAGCACCTACCCTCCCCCCCCCCTCCCCTCCCCCCCCAGAGGCCCCTCCTTCCCCTACCCAGCATCTATGATAAACGAACTCATTAGTGACGCTCATATTTATATATCTCTCTACTCTCTCTCTCTCTCTCTTCTCTCTCTCTCTCTCTCTCTCTCTCTTTCTCCATTTTCCCCTCTCCTCTTCTTGTTTCTATCTCATTTTCTCTCCTTCCCGTCCACCAACAGCAAGTTCTTTCTCATTTCTCTCCTTCTCATCTCTCTCTCTCTCTCTCTCTCTCTCTCTCTCTCTCTTTCTCCATTTTCCCCCTCTCCTCCTCCTCTTCTTCTTTCTCATTTTCTCTCCTTCCCCGCCACCAACAGCAAGTGTCTTTTCTCTCTCTCTCTCTCTCTCTCTCTCTCTCTCTCTCTCTCTCTCTCTCTCTCTCTCTCTCTCTCTCCTCTCTCTCTCCTCTTTCTCATTTTCCCCCTCTCCTCTTCTTGTTTCTTTCTCATCTTCTCTCCTTCCTCGTGTCGTTTTAATGAACGAGAAAGCACAGTCTATTGAGTAGAAGATCCTCGTTATAAAAACACACACAAAAAAAACGTCTTGTAACTGAACGCACAACGAGAGTCCGCGATAAGAGTGACATGAGTAGCTCGCCCAGAAATACAGGAAATTGGAAGGGAGCGGAAAGACAGGAGGAGAGAGAGAGGGAGAGGATGACGGATGGAAGGATGAAAGGCAGAACCAAGGGGGGCGGGTGAAAGATGAGGAGAACGGAGACAAAAAAAAAGGGGGTGAGAGAGAGAGAGAAGGGAAGGGAGGAGAGAGAGAGAGAAAAAGAGACGCACACCACAGAGAGAGAAGAGAGGGAGAGACCTCAGAGATAGAGACAGACACAGAGAGAGAGAGAGAGAGAGAGAGACCTCAGAGACAGACACACAGACAAACAAACAGAGAAAGAAAGAGTGAGAAAGGAGGTGAAACCACCCCCACAACGCAAAGAGGAAATGACCTACAGCAAACAAAGCCATTAAAGTGTCAGACATTCAGCGCAACGAATAGATACTCCAGCCTAAGACCCTCTACAACCAATTCCCCTAAAAAAGGATAAAAATAAATTCCCTTTAGCCTTAAGTCCTTCGAAAGCCACCGAACCTCTATCGAATAACCAGCGAACCATAAACGAGAGACGGAGTAATCGAAAAAGAGAGAGAGAGAGAGAGAGAGAGAGAGAGAGAGAGAGAGAGAGAGAGAGAAGAAAGAAAGAAAGAAAGAAAAGAAAGAAAGAAAGAAAGAAAGAAAAAAAGAAAGAGACCAGTGATAGAGAGAGAGAGAGAGAGAGAGTAAAAAAGAAAGAGACCAGAGAGAGAAAAAAAAAGAAAGAGACCATAGAGAGACAAAGAAAAGAAAGAGAAACATAGAGAGAGAGAAAAAAAAAAGAAAGCAGAGAGACAGAGAGAAGAAAGAGAACATAGAGAGAGAGAAAAAAAAATAAATGAGAGCATAGAGAGAGAGAAAGAAAAGAAAGAAAACATAAAGAGAGAGAGAATAAAAGAGAACAAAGAGAGAGAGAGAGAGAGACGGAGCGACCGAGGAGGAGAGACAACACGAAGGAGAAACTGTCGAGCTCCTCACTCAATCTCGGAGCTTCGAAAGTGAGCTTCGTAAGAGGCAGTGGAGCTCCGGGAAAAGGAAAGGGTAATTAAGAGCTTCAAGAGATTCCTTTGGCTCAGGGACGTGTGTTCGGATCGGCCATGTAACCAAGAGTTGGTTGACTGGGAGTTATCCAGAAAATGTTATTGATTGGGAAAAAAAACATCAGTAGACGAAAAAAAAATGGTAGTAATATCAAAAAAAACAGAAGACAAAATAAATAAAAAAGAACCAAAAAATAAACAAAACGAATAAACAAGAAAAAAAACATTTAAAACAAAACACTAAAAATAATCACAAAAACTAACACAAAAAAAAATAAAAACCAAAACAAAATCAAACATTCAAAAAAATATATAAAAATAAAACAAACCAAAAGCTTGTTTATAATGACATCAAACCTTCAAACAAAAAACAACAAAATTACAAACAAAAAAAAACAACAAATCCTCCTTGATTACTTTCCAAACAAACAAAACAACAAATCCTCCTTGATCCAAACAAAAAAAAAACAAAATCCTCCTACTTCCAAACAAAAAAAAACAACAAATCCTCCTTGATTACTTTCCAAACAAAACAAAACAACAAATCCTCCTTGATTACTTTACAAACAAAACAAAACAACAAATCCTCCTTGATTACTTTACAAACAAAACAAAACAACAATCCTCCTTGATTACTTTCCAACAAAACAAAACAACAAATTCCTCCTTGATTACTTTCCAAACAAAACAAAACAACAAATCCTCCTTGATTACTTTCAACAAAAAAACAACAAATCCTCCTTGATTACTTTACAAAACAAAACAAAACAACAAATCCTCCTTGATATTTCCAAAACAAAACAAAACAACAATCCTCCTTGATACTTTCCAAACAAAACAAAACAACAAATCCTCCTTGATTACTTTCCAAACAAAACAAAACAACAAATCCTCCTTGATTACTTCCAAACAAAACAAAAACAACAAATCCTCCTTGATTACTTTCCAACAAAACAAAACAACAAATCCTCCTTGATTACTTTCCAAAAAAACAAAACAAACAAATCCTCCTTGATTACTTTCCAAACAAAACAAAACAACAAATCCTCCTTGATTACTTTCAAACAAAACAAAAACAACAATCCTCCTTGATTACTTTCCAAACAAAACAAAACAACAAATCCTCCTTGATTACTTTCCAAAAAAACAAAACAACAAATCCTCCTTGATTACTTTACAAAACAAAAACAAAAAAACAAGACAAACAAACACTCTAACAATCCTTACCAGAAAGAATACCCAAACACTTCGTTTCCTTCAGTCGTCCACCCATTATCCTTGTCATAGAGGAGAACGTTCTTGGTGAGGTGGGCGTGGAACTGAACCGCCCAGCAGATCACGCACACCAGGTTGAATAACGCTGCAAAAATAAGGATAATGATAATAAAGATCATATTGATAATGATTGTGGTGATGATAATGATAGTATGGATAATGGCGATAATAACGCTGCAAAAAAGGGATAATGATAATAAAGATCATATTGATAATGATTGTGTGATGATAATGATATATGATAATGGCGATAATAACGCTGCAAAAATAGGATAATGATATAAAATCATATTGATAATGATTGTGGTGATGATAATTATATTATGGATAAGGGTGATGATGATGATAATAATATGGATAATGGTGATAAGGATAATGATAATAATAATCATATTGATAATGATTGTGGTGATGATAATGATAATATGGATAATGGCGATAATAATAATGGTAAAATAAGATAATGATAATAATGATCATATTGATAATGATTGTGGTGATGATAATGATAATATAGATAATGGCGATAATAATAACCTGTAAAATAATGATAATGATAATAATTAATCATATTGATGATTGATTGGTGATCATAATGATAATATAGATAGTGGCGATAATATAATGGATAATAGCGATAATAACGCTGCAAAATAAGGATAATGATAATAATAATCATATTGATAATGATTGTGATGATGATAATTATATTATGGATAAGGGTGATGATGATGATAATAATATGGATAATGGCGATAAGTATAATGATAATAAAAAATCATATTGATAATGATTGTGGTGATAATGATAATATAGATAATGGCGATAATAATAATGGTAAAAATAAGGATAGTGATAATAAATCATATTGATAATGATTGTGGTGATAATAATTATAGCATGGATAATGGTGATGATGATAATAATATGGATAATGGTGAAATGATAATAATAATCATATTGATAAGATTGTGGTGATGATAATTATAGTATCGATAATGTAATGATAATAATATGGATAATGTGATAATGATAATGATAATAATATGATAATGGCGATAATGATGATGTATAGATAATGGTTAATATAATGATAATAATATGGATAATGGCAATAATGATAATAATATGGATAATGGTAATAATAATAATAATATTGACAATGGTAATAATAATGATAATAATATGGATAATGACAAATAATAATGATACTATGGATAATGGTAATAGTAATGATGGTAATGATAACGGTACTAATGGTAATGATAATGATAATAATTGTGATAATGATAACTATAATAATAATAATAATAACGGTGATAGTGATAATAATGATGATTATGATAATTATAATAATGATGATAATGATTATAATAATAATGAAGGTAATACTGATAATAATAATAGCAATAATAATGATTATTATGATGATAACCATAATAATAGTTGTAATATTTATGATCATGATGATAATAACATCAATATTAATAATAATGATAATAACAATAATTATGATGATAATAATATTACTAATTAATTAACAATAATAATGACAATAATAATAATAATAATATAATAATATTGATGATGATGATGATGATGATGATGATGATGATGATGATGATGATGATGATGATGATGATGATGATGATGATGATGATAACAATAATGATAATATTTATGATGATGCAATAACGTTAATGAACGATAACTCCTGAAATTTGAACATTGCTCTTAATATCATAATCATTATCGACATTGCTTTTACTTCACTCATTATCATTAACATTATTGCTATCATTACTGCAATTAGATTATTTTAATTACTACTAAGGCTTTTAATACTGGGATGGAAAAAGGGGAGACAAAAATAAAAATAAAAAAAAGTTTTAATTAATTAATGGTATTAATGGTATTAACATTTCCATGTTCATCATTATATCATTATCATCTCTTCACCACCATGATAATTATAACCACCATCATCACCATTATCATCATCACCAACATGTCACAATCTTCTCAGTCATCACCAGAATCATCACTTTTCATCATCAGCCATCAACACCATAATCATATCAACATTATTACAGCACCATATATATCATATTCATAACTACTACCGTCATCACCACTACCAAAATCATCACCACCACCTCAGTCTTCATCAACATCACCACAACCATCACCAACACCACTGACACATTCATCACCACCACGATCAACATCACCATACTCACCCACCATTACCACACATTCCTCATCAACACTACCACCACAATCACCACAATCATCACCATCAAAGTCATCACCACCACAGTCATCACCAACCAGTCACCACCACATTCATTACACACCAAAGTCACCACCACTTTGACCACCACATTCACCACCACAAGCATCACCACTACATTCACCACAATCCTTACACACCGAAGTGACCACCACATTCACCACAATATTCACCACAATCATTACACACCAAGTGACCACCACATTCACCACAACATTCACCAATCATACACACCGAAGTCACCACCAAAGTCACCACAACATTCACCACTAAAATCATTACACACCGAAGCCACCACCACATCCACCACAATCATTCACACACCAAAGTCACCACCACAAGCATCACCACCAGTCCACCACACTCACCATCACAATCATTACACACCGAAGTCACCACCACAAGCATCACCAACCAGTCACCACATCCACCACACAATCATTACACACCACATTCAAAACATTCACCACCACATC